CTCCCCGCCCTCTGATTGAGACAAAGCGAGACACCTGTCTGACCAGGCTGGCACAGGGCAAGCTGGGAACCAGTAAGGACCCAGCAAAGGACGGCTGTTAGGACCAAATGTCTTCCTCCCCAACGCCCACACTTGAAAAATATTCTGTATTGGCCCGAATCAACACAGACCCTTTACTTTTCTTCCTAGATGTGGACACTGGATGCACACACTAGATAACAGCCACCTCTGTGCTTCATCTCACGCTATGAAGACCCAGGTCTACACATAAATCATCCCGTCCTAGCACTTCATTTTAACGGAGGAGCCTCTCAGGAAGGAAATCAGACCCCAGCAACTGAGAACAATAAAGAAACACCCTGCAAGTCAGAACAGTCCCCCGAGACGTTGTCAGCTAAGTGAGCAGACAGGCTCTGAATCCGCAGCAAAGCAGCACAGTTAGGGCGGAAGTCAGCCACCGTCCCGAGTAGCCCCACTTTCAGGTGACCCACCGTCCTCACCAGCTGATGACTGAAAGCATCACTTCTACATCACGTGCTGCTCAAGAGATGCCTGGTGATGGCGTGCTCACACAGAGACACTCCCAGGCCAGCTACATTTCTAGACAGTTTCTGCTTTCATTCACAGGTCAAGGAAACTCCTCTCTCACAAAACAGGTTCCAAACAGCACCTCCGTAATCCTGGAACTGCTGACGCCTGGGGGCCAGGACAGCCTCGGGATCCAGGGTGCAGGAAGCAAGAACTGCCCAGCACAGGGAGCGTCCACTCATCTGGGAGCTTCCAAGAGGCTCCAGCCCGGCAGGGAGGGCTGTAAGAGCCGGCCCAGGAGCCAGAGCATCGGAGACCTGGGCTATTGTCCCGCTTCTGGGCTCTGTGACTTGGGCTCACTGCTCTGAGCCTCAATTCCCACATCAGTAAGAAGAGACTCCTCCCAGGCCACCCACCCTTTACTGGTCTTTTTCCCGGCCTTATTCTCCCAGCTGTTAATGTGGCTCACTGCTCAACTGTCCATGGGGCACAGACATCTTTGCCTGCTCCCTTCCTAGAAGGGCAGGAACTCTTTCTTCTCCCTGTGTCGGCATGTACTATTGGATAACGAAGCGATATGAAAAGTTTTATACAGAGTGCCTCTTTCCATATACAAGTGAAAGTGTTAGTTCCTCAGCCGTGTCTGACTCTCTGTGACCCCATGGTCTGTAGGCCACCAAGCTCTTCTGTCCATGGAATTCTCCAGACAAGAATACTGGAGTGGGTTGCCATTTCCTCCTCCAAGGGATCTTCCTGACCCAGGGATCGAACCCAGGTCTCCTGCACTGCAGGCAAACTCTTTACCAACTGAGACAGGAGTTCGTCAGATAGCTATTGAATGGACTCATGACATACAGCACACGAAGGTTGGCACTTGGCCATAGGCACAGAGGGCGTCCTCAATTCTTAGTCCCTCGGCCTGGGGCGGTGGTCTCCATATCCTTATCACGTGTCACACCTCTCTGATGGTGGAACACCCTTCCCAATACGCAAACTCAGGACCAGATGTCAAGCTTCAGACTTCTTGGCAGAGCACCCACTCCCAATCCTCTCCTCTCCCTGTAGAATTTGAGCCCACACTTAAATGTTCAGGCTTGAGAATTCTCTTGAATATTAACAAGACTTGTCAATTTTTCTCCCAGTTGGGTAGAACTGAGTCAAAGCTGCCTTCTTGGGTAGGGCATGCGCTCACCTGCTCAGGGCAGCCCCGGAGTCTCCCCACCTCTCCCCATCCCCTGGAGCTAGCAGGGATTCACCTGGATGCCAGTGCACCCGGCAACCTCCAGCCAGGTCCTAGGTGGCCTTGGACATCCACAGTCTAATCACAACCCAGCTCTAACCCGAAGCATCCACTAGTGCAGTTCCAAGAGCCTAGGCTTCCTGTGGACCAGATGGTTAACTTGGGGCTTCTCTTCTGCACCTTCTCCAGACACCAAATAAGCAAAGTCCACTTTCCAACCTCTCCCAAACTTTCCTGCAAACACTGCCTCTTCCACACACTGGGATTAATCTTCTCTTCTTCGGGCCAGTGGAAAAGTCAAACACCTCCCCTCTCCTGGCCACGGGCAACAGCAACAGAAGAAGAGGAAGGTAGAGACACAGAGACTCACGGCAGCCACCGTGACAGTGCTGGGAACTCTGGCCAGCTGATCGTCAGAGAAAAGCAAGGCAGGCAGGGGATCCACTCTCGACAAACCTGCCTCTCCATCCTGCCTCCAAACACAAGGTCCTGGATGAATTAACCCTGCTCATTGCAGTCATGCAACATCCGGAGAGAAAGAACACAAAAGCATTACTGAATTTCCTTCAGAGGGCCAGGGAGCTGGACCTGGGAGGGGGAGAAGAGCCCCCTGCAGCTCCACTTCTGGCTCACTTGTGCACCTGAGAGAGAGAGCCTGGCAAGCTGCTTCACCTGCTGGCTCAGTTCCCCCAGCCAGTGGGAGGCAGGACATTCTCCTGCCAATCTTTCAGGAGCATTAGAGAGGAAAAACCTATTTGATTAAAAATTACCTAGTTAAAAGGCACTTTATTACCATGCTATTTTATGCTATTTTATGATTTGTGTGCTAAGACATTCGGATTCAATCAACATACTGTTGGTAAAATTAACAAGTACCATGTTTTGGAAAGGAGGGCTCCTGATTTTGCATCACTGGGGGAAGGGGAGTAGGAAAGTTGGGCATGGAAAATGCTGTGTGTGTGGTGGGGGGGAGCAGTTCTAGAGGAAGTTGGGGCAAATCTCCAGGCCTCAGTTTCCCCCCGGGCGCCCCGGGAGGTGCACCCGCGGGCTGCCTTTCTGCTCCATCACCTGGTGGATGTCCTGCTAGAACCGCAGCTGATAAGAACTGGGGCCCTCCAAACCTCTCGGCTCAGCCTCACAAGACAGCGCGCCACATCCCTTCGCGGAGCGTCCTGAGGCTTCCCAGAGATACAACTTCATTCCCCCAAACTCCGTGCCATCAACGCACCCTACGTGAAAGCAGCGAAGGACCTCGGGGAACGGGGAAACGGGGCCGGGGGCGGGGAAGCTGGGCTCAGCCCCAGCCTTTATCGCCTCCTTCTCGAACCTCCTTACTCCAGGCGCGGACGTCCAGCTGCCAACAATCAGCCCCCGAGCCCCAGCCTTCAGTCTGTACCCGCCGCTCCAGGCCCCTTGGGGCCGACCCCGGCTGCAGGGCTGACGCGCAACGTGGGGCCGGGACCGCGACGGGGCGGTCAAGCAGCCGCGCCCAGGACCCCGGCGGCTCCGAATCCTAAACACACACGCGCGCACGCCGGCCAATCCGTTCGCCCGGAGGAGTCGAAAGGCGCTTCCACAACGTTTCATTCATTCTCCCAAAGGCGATGTTCGCTTCTCCCGGGCGCCTGCATCCCACGATCTTAAGAGGACTCCAAGGGGGCTACCTGCGCCACGACCCGTTCCCCATCAGCCCACGGCCGCCGAGTCCTCTCCACCCGCACCTATCACCCAATAGACTCGCGCTCCATCCCGATCGGCAGCGTCGCCCCCGCGCAGGGGTCGATGCCACCCAGGCTCCCCGCAGTTTCGTCGCCCCGCAGCCCCCGCCGCCCCGCCACGCCGCTCTGCTCAGACCTGCAGCGCTCGGCTCGCCGCGCCCAGGCCGGCTGGGGACGCCGCCGCCGCCTCCGCCACCGCCGGGAAGCGCCGGCTCCTCCCGAGTCACACCGCCTCCGGAGCTGCGGCGGGGCGCTGGGAGGGGACAGGGGGCGGAGGGCCGGGAGGAAGAAGGCGGGGAGCAAAAGTTCAGGCCGCTCCGGGCCTCGCCGCGCCCCCGTCTCCTCCCAGGCCCGCCCACGCGGTCCCCCTCCCGGAACCCGGTCCCACGGGCTTCCGCGCCTGGGATCCCCCACCCCACGCCTCCCCGCCCGGGGCAGCCGAGGGGCTGGAGCCAGGGCAGGAAGGTGGCCCCGAACCCGAGTCAGGGAGAGAGTGGCGGATAGCAAACATACCAACCTGCACCGAGCTGCGCCTGGAAACTTCCCCGAAGTGCGCCGGGGAGCGGAGCGCATGGCTGGGGAATCCCCACCCCCACCTTCACCCCACGCGCGCTCCTAGGGAGAAAGCACCGATCGGTCGGTCAGTCGGTCCTCCGACTGCAGAGCGCGCCCCCCGCACCCCCATTCCGACTCCTGGGGCCGTTCTCCTGGACAGCTGGCCTGTGCGTGCTCAGAGGCAGCTGCCCGCAGCGCCACCACCCCGCCGCCGAGTCCCCGGTCCCCGAGCTCTGATCGCATTCTCCCTAGCCGGAGAGGGGGGCGTGCGAGCCCTTGGCGCCGCCGCCGTTGCCTCCGAGCAGCCCTTCCCGCGAGGCTCCCGGCGCGCGGGGCGCCCAGAGCGCGGCCGGGATCGGCGGCGAGGGGACGCCCTCCGCTGGAGACTGCGATTGCCTTGGTGAGGCTGGGCCGAGGGTCGCGGGGCCCAAACCTGCCTCTTCCGCCGGCCCGGACTCCCTACGCCCAGCCGGGGCCGACCCCGGCGCTGCCCGGCCGGAACGCGGAGGGGCGCCGGAGCTCGGAGCCAGACACCCACCCGCCGCCTGTGGCCGCCCCCGCGCCGCGCCTGGCACCCAACTTGTACCTGAGAAGCCGGAGTCCAGCCCGGGGGCGGCGGGGGCAGCCCAGCCTCTGCGGCTCCGCGGGAGCGCGCCCAGCCCCGCGCCCGGAGCCCGGCATGCGGGGCGCGTCAACCTGACTCCCCGAGTGCAGGGAGGAAAAGTTTTGGGAGTGACGTGCGGATGGCAAATGAAACATCTGAAGAGAACCCGCCCCCTCGCCCCGTGTCGCGCGGACACACATCAGCTCTGGTCTGGAATGTGAGACCAAGGCGTGCGCGCCGAGCGGTGGGTTTGCTTCCCGCCCCCTCCCCTTCCGAGTCAACACGGCATGGGCGCTGCGGTGATTCGGAAAGGAAAGCAAACCGAAACCCCTCAAGTCTGCCAGTGATACCCTGCCAGAGACATTTTTTTTTTTTTTAAATGAACTTGGTGGTCTGGAGTCAGCCCGTGCATTGATATTCAAGGCCATGGCGCTGGTGGGTTCTGCGCCCTCTTGTATTTTTGCATCTGGAGACGGCTCTCCCAGGCTCTTCGGCCCAGCCTGCTTGCTTTCACAGTGAAGGAAGGTTCAGCGGGACCCCGAGCCCAGCCGCAGTGGCCCCAGGCGCGGCTGCTCCAGGAAACCACCGGGCTGCCCGAGGTCAAGGAAGTGGCGCACCCGTGGTCCACCTGGAGACTCTCCACCGAAGATAAACCAGTTGAAGAAAACACTCTGAATTCTGAAAGACTCAAGCCCAGCCTCTCAGAAAACAGATCTAAAGGACAGAAGGGGGGCGGGGGAGATCCTTGTCTTCGGTCACATAGCCTTTTGCCGGCCGAGTCCCCTTGACCACAGTCCAGCATCTTGTCCTAGGAGCAACCAGAAGTGGAGCTGAAATTTCTCCGTGTCCAGTGCCGACACACCGTTGAGGGGTGCATCCTGAGGGTACCTTGCCCCCACCCTTCCCCTCTTTCTGGAGAAACGTGATTTTTATTGCCCGAGGCTCCTCTCACCCCCAGAAACTATAGCCCACCCTGAGGTCATAACCTTCTGCTCAGCATCCGTGGCAACTAATGCAGGGGTCACAATCAGAGGATTATAATTGCAGATGTGAAGCTGGGATGAGAGGGGAATTCTTCAAAACGGTATCTTGTTTTCCTGCAAATAATGCCTCTTACATAAAATCTACGAAGAGAGATTAATGCAGCAAAGAGACCAGCCTTAGAATCTCAGACGACATTGCTTTTTCCATATAGACTCCACTTGGTAGGTTTTGTTCATTATTATTATTTTTAAAACAAAAAGCTTTTTCTGAAAATACAATGAGCTGCTTTTTGCAGGGTTCACAATTCCCAATAGATGATGATGCCATTTTTCAAGGTCTTACACACGTTGTGGCTTTGGGGTTTATTTATTAGCTCCCAAGAAAAGCCTGCCTTTCAGTGAGGTTTATATACTCAAGTAATTGCAGGGGGAGGACACGGAGCAGTGTGCTGTTAAAGAAGGTTGGCTGTGCATGCGTCTGCAAGGAAGGCCTTGGGCCAGGCAGCTGTCAGACCAGAGTGTGCAATGGGTTTAAACAAACACAGGGACGGCTCTGTGGAAACACCCAGAAGGAAATCCCCTCCTGTAAGGGTGTGTGGAACATTATTCCACGGCCACACATACCTCCGTCTTTCCTCTCCTCCTTCCAAGTAAACACATCGCTCTGTTACATAGATGGCTCGGGGCCCACCCAGGTCACTTTCAAATTCAAGTGTCAGAAATCACGGTTGACATGGAGCAAATTGTTTCTAAGTATAGTCATGCTGCCGCTTTGATACAGATTCCACCAGGGACTTTCTAAAGGTATTTATACACGTGCCTGAGATTAACTGGAGGGCAGTTTTTCCTCTCAACTTTAATTTAAAAAAAAAAAAATCACCCAAGAATTGCCCTCGAGTCTGTTACTCTGGAGAGCTGAGAGAACACCCAAATACCAGATGTATGTGCGTGAGTGGATGGATGGACAGATGGATACGTGTCTGTGATAGAGGCTAGTGTATCACATTGGCAACTAGTGAGTGAAAAAAAAAATGCAATTTAAGAAAACAAATGTCCCTTCCCCGGATGCACACTTAGGCCTCCATAATTCTGGAATTAAATTGTCTGAGTTCAACCCCTGCTGCTGACACCGACTAGCTGAGTGACACTGGACAAGTCATTTCTTTCTTTGCCTCCGTCTGGCACCTATAATAGCCCCTACATGTAGTAAGTTGAATTATTGACCCCATGCAGGTTATTACACTTCTATATCCTGTCACAGCTTCATAGTGCATGGACCATGCTTCCCCATCCCTTGACTTTGGACTTACCCACATGATTTGCTTTAGATAATGAGATTTTGAAGAATGTGGCTGAATCAGAGGCTCAGCATGTGTTGCAGGCCTGGGCTTGCTCTCTTGTGCTTTGAATCCTTAATGAGAACACCACCAACACATCCTGAGAAGCTGCTACTTCTTCCATCAAGGCTCTGAACTAAACACACATGCAGCAGACCCACACTCAACTTGCAGCCTGGAGCCAAGTGATTCCCCTGTGCAGCTGACCTATAAACACGTGAACAAGGGGAAAATGCGTGTTGCAAGGTATATGTTGGAGTTTTGTTACACAGCATTTTTGTGGCAATGGCTGACTGATACATGCCCTCAGTGGGCTGGTGTGAAGATTCTTGACACAGTGACTGAAAAACACTAAGCACAATTCTTAGACCCTCGTTAGAGCTCAGGGATGTCAGCTATTATCAGTAATCAATGCTACTGAAAGTGGCTTTGCATGTAACAGTCACATGAGAACTGTTTTGCAATTGGTTAATTGAATTCATGAACAAATATTAGTTGAGCAAAGATTCTATGAGACAGTGCAAGCACGTCAGAAAACTGGAAGACCGAGGACCTGCCATGATCCCCAAATTACACTCATTCACTCACTCATTTATTCATTCATCCAGCAGACATTCCCTGAACGCTTGCTCTGTGCTATACACTGGCGTGAAGGTGGGAGATACTGAGATGATTAAGTCTCTATGCCCCCCTGAGAATGGGGACCTACAGCTCCCTGCCATGTGACATACCCTGCCAAGGGCTCCCCCTGTGGTATTTCATTTGATCTTCACAATAGCCTTGTGAGCCAATATTATTGAGTCCCCATTTTTCAGGTGAGGAGACTGAGGCTCCGAAACAAAGCAACATAGGAAAAGACCAAAGGCTGCTCAATACCTTCTGTGTGCACTAGTGTCAGTGAGTTCAAGCTCACACGGGCACACCCATCAAGTGAGCGCAGTGAGAGCAGAGGAAAGAGGTGGACAGCTGCGTCTCCTGGCCTCACACATGTGGGTTGTTCAGGAAATACTGAGGCTCGGAGACCCGGGTTCTGCTTCTGCCATCCGCTGTCTGTAAGACCATGAGCCCGTCTCTTACTCTGTTTCCCCACCTGGAGGGAGGAAGGACCCTGAAAGCTGCAGCTCTGCGATCTTATAATGCCGCTGATACAAGAGGCATGGCTGTTGGAAGATCATTTTGAAGGAATGAAGTGATGGGAATCGCAGTTCCAAGAACTGGCCTAACAACTTGAAAACGGAGAGAACAAACCGCTTGGGGGGAAAGGAGACAAGGTCAGACCATGGGCACTGCTCATTACAAGCCCCAACTCAACAGCCATAACGTTGCTTTCGGTCACTGTACTATAGGAGCGTTGAGACCAGAGCGTTTGGGGTCTCCCCAGATGCTCCTATCAGAATGGGATGCTCCTTTTATTTTTAGTTATTTAGTTAATTTTAAAGTTGGCTGCAGCGGGTCTTAGCTGCCGCCTGTGGGATCTTTGCTCTTCGTTGCAGTGTGAGGACCTTAGTCTCGGCATGAGGGATCTAGTTCCCTGAGCAGGGATCGTGCCGGCCCCCTGCACTGGGAGCACAGAGTCTTAGCCACCAGACCACCAGGGAAGTCCCAGGAATGCCCCCCTTTTATCTGTCAGAGGACTTACTTATCACCTAATCCCCCTTAATGTTCAGTTAACGCTTTAGCAGAGCCTGGGATAAAGTTCAGTTCACCTTCACTTTATTCCCAAATGTGAGGCTCTTTCCACAGGGACAGCCCGGGGGGGCAGAATGCTACTGGAGTCAGAGCTCCTGTGCTGGGGAGGGTCGCCCCTGGGGGTGATGGGGGTCCCTGGGCTTCAGGGCACAGGCTCTCAAATTTGTTTCGGTGGACGTGGCTTCAGCTCTCTGCCACCAGCAACGACCTGCCCCCAGCCCTGTGACTTTGACGAATTTAGACTGCTTGGTAACCTGAAGTGCATTTCAATTTCATAAATTTAAAAATACTCTAGTTAGACAGATCCCTTCTGCAGTAATGCATCCATTAAGTGCACTTTAAGCCAATTTTGGTATGCTAATCCATCACAAATCGACGTGAAATTCAGGTTCTTGTGAAAATTTCCTACACTCCATCCAAAACCTCAACCGGATTTAGGATAATAGCAAACTCCTTAAAGCTGTGGACTTCAACTCTGTTTCAAAACTTCAGTGAAGGAAAGCAACAGGCCAGTTTTAAACAAACACCAGAACAGGTGTATTTACATAAGAGCTGCCTATTCTAACAGGGTGGCCCAGGGGGTCAGTTCCCTTGCTCTCAAGATGCTCCCATAGCTGGAAGGCTTTAGAACTCTACTTTGGAGATCCCCCCAGGGAAATCTCAGTGACTGTAAGCCCTTGGAGGGTGAGAACAGGGTCATGTAAATCTTGATATTCCCAGCCCCTATCTCAGAGCCTGATGCAGCGGACACTCCCAGTCAATGCCTGGACACTCCCAGGCATTCCGGTGAATGCCCCAGTTGGAATTTCCTGGCTTGATTAGCAACTTATCCACCAAACTATTTTCTAAAATCAAATGCATTCCCCACCAATGAAGCCCGGGGATCCTGCAAGCACAGGCAGAAACCTCTGAAGGAAAATCAGATGAGGACTCCAAGCGATTTTAGCGATGACAATGTCATCACCTCTTTATCCTCCACGAGTCAGCGTATGGCCAGTAATTGGCGACACGAAGAACCTACGGGTGATGAGAGAGACATAATGTCATTGTTATCACCGTCTAAGACTCTGTCGCTACCAGCTGTTGACGGGCATCGCCTATTAACTGGATGTTTTTAGTTGCATAATAGACATTTAGCCAATAAAGTTTACAGCCGGTAGCATTTTCACTTACTTGTTCCTGTCATAAGATCTCCAACCCACCCAACACAAAAATGAGCTGTTGATTTGGTAAATTTAGAGCAGCACTGCCTGCCGTAGTTGTGAAATACCTGAGCCTTCTAAATACATTCCACTTTCCTGGTTGAGCCTTAGAGGCTCCTGGCAGGTCTTGAAAATTTGCACTCCCTTCCCTGCCCACCTTTGCTGCTGGGTCCAACCCAGACCAGACCTGCTTCACCCCTCACTACCGCAGTTCTCTAAGTTCCCCACCACACACCTGCCCAGATGCCTGAGGCAGGCACGCCAGTGTCATCCTTAGCTCTTGGCTCCTTTACCCCCCCATCTCCCATTAGCCATCATCATCTTCTCAAGCCTGGGTTGCGTTTTTTTTTTTTAATGCAGATTCCTTGGTTCCAGAACCAGAGATTCCACTTCAGTAGGTCTGAGGTAAGACTCCAGGTTCTGAAACTCTGGGAGTGGTACGTGTTTAATATACACGTATATTATACAGTATACAGATACAGTGGTATCTGTTTAATATACAGATTAAACAACCCTCTTCCCGCTGTCTCCCTTGGGCCTCTTGCAGCAGCTTCTAGCTACACTCTCTGCCTCCTTTCCTTGACTTCCACTAACTGGTTCTTTCTACACGCACAGTCAGCATCTTTTCCAACACTCAAATCTGAGCATGTCAGCCCCATAGTTAAACACCTACAATGCCTCCCTTGCACCCAAAGGTGAGTCCAGCCCACAGTGCCAGGCAGGGTCCCAGGCCCCTCTCCCTTCCCAGCCCTCACATGCCCATCAGCGCTGTTCACACTGCCTCCCCAAGTGGCCCAGGGACAGCAGACATGATCACGCTGAGATGAGTTCTAGGACAGTGGCATCACCAGGCATTTCCAGGGACTATCTGCTCTTGGATGAAGGGTTAACTCGAGAAAAATCGCTTCCTTACAAGTTTCTTCAATGACATTAAAATTCAGCTTGACGGTGGCCCCTTTCCCTCCCTGCCCATGACGTGAGGGTGGAACTGGATTCTCTCCTGGCACTGAGCCCCTCCAAGGTGTCATCAGCATCTTGATTACCCATCACAAGGAATGATAGAAGGTGATCTGCTCTCTGTCTGTATTAGTCTCCTGCAGCTGCGTAACAAATGACCCCAAGCCCAGTGACTTCACACAGCACCTTCTAACTACCACATGGTTCTGTGGGTCAGAAGTCTGATGGATGCTCTGCTCTAGGTCTCACAAGAATAAAACCAAGCGGACAGCAGGGCTGGGCTCTTACCTGCAGGTCCTGGGGTGGAAGCCCTTCCAAGCCCCTCTCAGGTGGTCAGCAGGATTCACTTCTTTGAGGTTACCGAGTCCCCACGTCCTCACTGGGTGCTGGTTTGGGTTTGGTGTCTACTCCCAAAGGCCACCACCACCTCTCCTCACGTGGCCCCTTCTATCTGCCAAGCAGCAACAGCACTCAAGTCCTTCTTGTCTTGGGACCCCTGTGCTCATTCTTTCTGGGCTCCTGTGATGACACAGAGCCCATCCAGGAGAATCCAAGGTTTTAATCATGCAGGATAACCTCCTTATCTTGATAAGGTTGACTGATTAGCAACTTCAACTGCATCGCAAAGGTCCCTTTTGCCATGTAACCTACACATTCATAGACATGACCCCAGGGACAAAGGTGATGGGGTTTATTTAAAATTCAGCCTACCACACTTCACTGTTAGGAAATCTGAAAGATTAGCTCCTCTTGCCTGCGTCAGTTCTTCCAGGAACATTTCTTACGCAGGTCCAGAGATGCCATGCAAGAGCTCTCTGAACAGCAGCCCTGCCCTCTAGAGGCGCACGATCTAAAAGGACATGGAAGGGAGAATCAAGTGCCAAGCCTATGCCAGGGCTAGAGCAGGGGCCTGGCAAAGGGCAGGTTTTTCATGTACTCAGTAGGAAGCTGGTCTCCACAAGGATCCCCAACCCCCAGTCATCCAGGCTGCTCACAGGTTTTGCTTTATCTGGAACCCTCTGTGCAGTGATTCACTTGCCACGTTCTTTCACTATGCTCACATAGAAGCAATTTACATACTGAAATATATCCAGATAAAGTGTAAGGCGGCTGGAAGTTGCTTCAATAATGGAGTGTGGGAAGAGTGGGCTGATGATGGTTGGAGCTAGAGAGTGGGATGTCAGGCACCCATCTCTATTTCTGGGCTGCATTTGGACATGTCCACATAAGAAAGCTGAGCGCCAAAGAACTGATACTTTTGAACTGTGGTGTTGGAGAAGACTCTTGAGAGTTCCTTGGACTGCAAGGAGATCCAACCGGTCCATCCTAAAGGAGATCAGTCCTGGGTATTCATTGGAAGGACTGATGCTGAAGCTGAAACTCCAATACTTTGGCCACCTGTGCAAAGAACTCACTCATTTGAAAAGACCCTGATGCTGGGAAAGATTGAAGGCAGGAGGAGAAGGGGACAACAGAGGATGAGATGGTTGGATGGCATCACTGACTCGATGGACATAGTTTGAGTAGGCTCTGAGAGTTGGTGATGGACAGGGAAGCCTGGAATGCTATAGTCCATGGGGTCGCAAAGAGTCAGACATGACTGGGCTACTGAAGTGAACAGCACAGAGAGTTTGGGAAAATGTCTTTATAAAAGATCATGTGTTTCATCATAAATGGGAAAACCACTATCATTCACCATAAAAAGTTGTCCAAAATTACATATAATTAAAAGACAGCAAAGTGGTCACATTCCAGCAAGGTTACTGACCGGTGTTTTCTCCCTGTTAGGAAAATTACCAAATGTCAGAGTTTAAGGACTAGGACCCAGGGGGGCATTCTCACTGAGACGGTTTTAAGAAGACCTAACAGTTTTCTTTGGGCCTTCCTTGGTTTCTCAGACAATAAAGAATCTGCCTGGAACGCAGGAGACCAGGGTTCAGTCCCTGGGTCAGGAAGATCCCCTGGAGAACGGAATGGCAACTCTCTCCAATATGCTTGCCTAGAGCGTTCCAGGGACAGAGGAGCCTGGTGTGCTATACAGTCCATGGGGTCATAAAGAGTCAGACACAACTGAGTGACTTTCACCTTTTTTTAAGTTCTCTTTAAATCCTTCTGATAACTTTCCCAGTAAGCAGCTCCACTGTATTTAACACCTGGTCCATGTACCCCTAAAAGGCCCCTGTGGTCTGGACAGACTCTGAGGCCCTTTTGGACGCTGCAGTATCCCAGTTTGTGACTGTGGATGTGCTGTACGCTGGTCTGGGGCAGAGTTGTGGGTGACGGAGGGACTGGAGGGTGGAGAGGAACAGCCCAGGCCACCAGGGAGAGTCGCCTTAAATGAGGAAAGCGTGAACCCTGAGTTAGCCCTCCGACCTTGGCACCTGAATCTTTTCTCCAAATCTCACTCTCTCCTCCCACTCAAGATGAGACCCCAAGCACTGCTCACACCCCCATCCCAAGCTGTCCTTGGGCAAGAGCCTGTGGGCCCCCACACCTAAAAGGAATGTCTAATGAAGGCTTTTCTGCCGACCTCAGGTCTCAGAGGTGCCTGCAGGGAGCTTTGTTATCTCATAAGTTTCAGGCATCCTGAACACTTGAGGAGGTTGAGATGGGAGGTCCTCAGCAAAGGCAGGACCTGGAGGGCTAAACCCATGGGTCGCACTAGTGGAACTTGAGGAGGCTGGCTTCAGGGCTGGCCCATGACATCTGGTCCATTCCTGAGTTGGGGAGTATCCTGAACAGAGCACTGATTCAAGGGGCAATGGGCCCACCTCATCTCTTGCCCTCCCGTCCATCCAGAATTGAGCTGTGAGTCCTTCTGGGCCAGGAGATGCCGGCCTACACCACGGCCACAGGGGAGGAAGAGGGGGAGAGTTGGACCAGCCCCTCCCTGGGAACAGAGGATCCTCTCCCAGCCTCACTGCTGCACAGAGACGGAGAAGAGGCTGCTTCTTGCACACCTGCCTGATGCCAGGCACCATGCAGGGACCTTGCCCATTGCTTCCAGCTGAGATGCTGTTGCAGGAGGTGAGGGGTGGGAGTGGGGAAGGGTGGGGTCTGGGGCACTGTGGAGCACCCACACCCATCCCACCAGGCAGCTGGGTCTCAGCTCCTGCTAGATGGGGCCTGGGAGCCAGAATTCTGAGCTTTATTGTGATATCACCCAACTTTAAAAGTAATCTTGGATGGGCAACTAAATCAGAAAAAAATATTGTACAGCAGAGTGGGAACCAACCCTTTCAGACTGCAGGAGAGACATCCAGGCACATACCATTTCTATAGCTCCATACCGAAGGCTCCTGACATTTCAGCAAACTGTGTCCGTGAATGTCTGGGAGGGGCTGAGAGGATACCATCCCATTTTACAGGTCAGAAAACTGAGGCTCCCAAAGGCACACAGCTTCACAAATGGCAAATCAGGAGATGACGTGGAGCTCACTGCCCCTTGAATTGGTTCTCTCCTTGGGGTACCCAATCCCCAAACCCAGAAATGAACCAGATGTCACCTGAGAGTCCCATCCAGCAGGTTAGCTCTGAAACCCTGGAGCACTGGCTCAAGGGTCCCCTCCAGGGGCCCGGGGGCCACCAGTCACCTCCCTCCCCATCTGCATACTTCCACACCAGTGGCACATGCCTAGCCAGCTGTGTCACAATAGATGTGCTGTACCTGGCCTCTGACTGGCCCGCAGGAGGCAGGATTCTGGCAGGAGGAGTCAAGAGGTGAGGAGAGCATCTCCTGGACCCAGAGAGGGTCTGGGTCAGACCCAGAAGGGCCTGCTGTCCCTCTTTCCTGAGCCCGGGGGAATCCACTGCCTTTGCGCCAAGGTGAGGGAGGACCTATTTTCCCCCAGGTGCCCACTGGGGGCTGAGTTGGAGGTGAGTCACCCACTTCACCCACTGCCACTGATGCCCCTGTGAATCCCAGGAGTCCTGCCACGGGGTTCCCCTGAAACCAGCCTCCTGCCTCACAGGGGCCCAGGGCCTTTAATGTTCACCGCAAAGGGGCTGAGTGGTGCTTCAGGGACCACGACTCAGACATGACACGTCTTGTCAACCAAACTAAGTCATCTCTTCTCGGGGTGTGTTCAGGGTCCGTCGGGGTTCTTGTAAAAACAATTATTTCTTCTTTCAGTTCAGCCTGAGAGCTGAGTTGGTATTTGAAGAGTCGAGGAATCAAATATTCACAAAATGACTACATGATTCTTATTTGGAATATTAATTATGCGAAGGGAACAACAGAATCATTTTTTTTTATTAAGCCCTGATGAAGGAGCTGTCCCCAGACTCTACTAAAAGCCTAACACAAATAAACAAGATCCCACGTGCCACTGCCTGACCTCAGTGAGGACGTGCCCCAGGCAGAGGCCACGATAACAACAGCACCTAAAAAAATTCAAACCTGGTACCTCTAGGGCTTTACAATTCACAGACACTTCCACATTCATCCAGTCCTTTGGGTTCCTGTTGTTCGGTTGCCAAGTCGTGTCTGACTCTTGGCAATCCCATGGACTGCAGCACACGGGGCTTCCCTGTCTCCCACCATCTCCTGGAGTTTGCCCAAGGGCACATTCTTTGAATTGGTGATGCCATCCAACCATCTCACCCTCTGTTGCCATCTTCTTCTGCATTCAGTCTTTCCCAGCATCAGGGTCTTTTCCAATGAGTCGGCTTGGGTCCCTGCTCTTGCTGTTGCTTAAGTCACTTCAGTCGTGTCCGACTCTGTGCGACCCTATGGATTGCAGCCCACCAGGTTCCTCTGTCCAAGGGATTTTCCAGGCAAGACTACCACTGGAGTGGGTTGCCGCACCTACCTCTTAAAGGTCCATATTGGACGTGTTGAGACACCTTTATATGAAGAAGCAGTGGGCTCAGAAAAGAGCTCCCCAAGTGGTACCGTGGTAAAGCACTCGTCTTTAGGAGGAGTTTTTTGCAGGAGACTTTTGCAGGAGACTCTGGTTTGATCCCTGAGTCAGGAAGATCCCCTAGAGGAGGGAATGACAACCCACTTCAGTATTCTTGCCTGGAAAATTCCATGGACAGAGGAGCCTGGCAGGCTGCAGTCCAGGGGGGTCACAAAGAGTCGGACACGACTGAGCTCACAGGCTCAGAAGGAGAAAGGGTCTTGCCCAAGGACTCAGCTAAGCAGTCCTAACTGTAAAGGAAGGGTCCAGTCCAAGGCCAGTGCTTTCCCTTCTAAAGCCACCTCACTCGGCAGATCTCAGCCTTATTGCAGCCCTGAGGAAATGCATTCCTACCAGCCCTTTACAGACAAGGAAACTGTAGCTGAGAGGGCTACAGCGGGGCCCCTTCTTCCCAAATGCCCTGTGACATTCACCCACCCATCCTTTTATCCTCAGGAGGCTCCTGGCACCCTAGGACCCTGACTCATTTCTCCAGGATCAGCGCCCCACGAGGATGGTGGTGTTCGAGGGTGTTTGTCAGTCCTCTTTGCTTTCCAGCTCCGTAGTTCAAAAATACCAACACGCCAGCACCACAGAACACAAGGTTTCCTGCACCTTGGCTAACTTCCTGCTGACTCAGCCAGACTGGGAAAGGGCCAATTGTGGTAACTTCTCCGGCCGTGCGAGAGAAATATTTATTGTTGAATGGTCCTCTGTTTAATAAAAGGCGCTCAGCCCTCTCCGCTGGGCAGAGAAGATCCCACAAGTGTGGCTGTCGTCCCAAGCCTGTCCCTTTCGTGTGGGATGATTCGGGGGGGTGGGGGTGCTGCCTTCTCTCTGGGTCTAGCAGGGCTTGCATCTTCTCTCTGCAGAGGCCGGGTGCAGCCACGATTTACGGAGGCTGGAGCAGAGTTTCTGGTTCCCATTTTCACCCTGAGGCGCTTTTCCTCAATGAGCCTGCCAAGGTCTTGACCCCTTGGCACCTCTGAGTACCCATCTGTGAAATGGCTAGAATATAATGCATGTGTTGATTGACATGTAAAGAGCCTGCCTCTGATGAGGACCAGGGTGCTCCTCCCTGGAGGCTGGACCGTGGCTCTCTGTAAACTATAAAAGAGCCTTTGAAATGCCTGAGCGCAGCAGAGAAACCGGCAAAGGACTCTGGGGCTCACGAAGAACACCTCTCCAGTTCAGCTGTGCGCGAGACTTTTGATGATGCTTGTGGGAACAGCTCCTGTCTGCGGAGTGCTGAGATGACGGAGTGGGGGCCGTGGGTGCTTGAGCTCTTAGTCCATCAGCCTCCCCTTGGTTCTTCCAGGAATGGCTGGTTTCCTTGT